TTCATGTAACCCGATTATAACAACTTCGAATAATAAAATCTTTTGAAATTAGAATAAATTGAGGTGCGCCGCGCCAAATAAAATTTCAATTGTGTGACCCTCGTTTTAATTAGCTTTGACTTAACCTTAGAATTCGAGGCGTGCCATTTAGCAAATTTTCATGGCCCTCGCAAAGTTAACAACGCGTAGTTGCTTTTAGGCGCGTTATTTAATAATGTACCTTCCTAAACTCGGGTGCACATTTATGTGACCCAAATCCAAATCTCAACGTTAGATAAAATATGTTATGGACTGCGGGTGCATTTATGTGACGTGGTTCGAAACATATTTTAAATGACGTTGCAATCTTCCTTTAATTAATTAAATAAAAGCGGTTAAAAAGCTAAATGCACATAGGTTTAAAATGTACTAAAATCAAATCAGATAATTCCAAATATAACAGTTGAGCGACCGTGCTAGAACCACGGAATCCGGGAATGCCTAACACCTTCTCCCGGGTTAACAGAATTCCTTACTCGGATTTCTGGTTCGCGGACTGTTAACAGAGTCATAATTTCCTCGGTTCGGGATTCAACAGGTGACTTGGGACACCATAAATCCCGTTTCGATTGTCCTTTAAGTGGAAAAACTCCTTTACACCCTTGCGGGTATAGGAAAAAGAAGGTGTGACAGCTCTGGCGACTCTGCTGGGGATACAAACCCAGAACTTCGGTTCAGGGTTTAAGAATTCAAGCTTAGATTAATTGTTATGTTTGGCTTTAACTGATTTTCCTACATGTTTCCATGCCTTATGTGCTAAATGTTTACCGCTTTGATATTATCTGAATTGTATATATAAACTGTGCCGAAACCCTTCTCTTCTCACCTCCGGGGATGTGCTTACTGGTTGAGACTCCCTATTCTGTTAGTGTCATACCTTGAAATAAGAAAGAGGCCGGACAAGTTACTAAGCCGGACGATCCCGCGGGTCCCCGGTATGTAGCCCCCTCCTCGACTCGAGTTGTCCGCTCGGGTACACAGTCTAGAACCTATACCCGGGTTTTGAACCTAGAATAGCTTGACCTCATGCCGGATCCCTAGTAGGAACGCTTATTTGCATCACGTGCATTTTGACTTAGGGGACTCAACACAGGGGTTGGGTCCGTCTAGGACAGGTATACCCAAAATAATAGACCATCTTGATGCATCCTATGTGCTACATGTTGCATTTATTCAAGGGGAAAAGGGTCATTTTGGGGACCAATGATAGCTGAGGGTAAATGAAAAAAAAAGGAAAAATTGAAAAATGGAAAAAAGAGGGGAAAAAAAAAGAAAAAAAAGGAGGATGAAGTGTGGAAATAAAGCAAGTGGAGCCTAGTTGTGTTTTTGTTACTTTTTTTTATTTAAGAAAAGAGAGAGCTTGGAAATTTCAAAAAGATTTTGCACTTTTATCATTTTCTAAAAAATCAAAAAAAAGGAAAAAGAATAATAAATAAAAAAGAGTTTGCATGTTTCATCATTTTCAAGGAGAAGACAAAAAAAAAAGGTTTTCTCTAAGTTAGTAGTTTTTGTAATTTGCGCTCGTATCCAATCTGCCCGAACTACGCATACCTGATTCTCGTTTTTCGGGGCGTGATACGTAGGCAACCCACATAGGGTCCGGTCTTCCTAGCAAGTTTAGGTTCTTGGCTTTGCGGGGTCTTAGCCAAATTTTGCACTTCTGGCCACCTTTTGGCTAAATAAGTCATTTTGCAAAAAACAGCCTCAATCATGTCTTGCATGTGTCTTAGGGAATATTATTGTCTCACATAGTGTTGGTTTAAGTTTTCTCATACAGGTGTGGATCTACTTACCGGAGTTTGAGCATGACCGATAATCAGGATCGCTCATCCGGGAGTTGCTTAAGGAAATTTGTTTTTGTTGAGTCTGTTTTTCTTTTACGTCATCTTTTATCTTCTAGTTTTGTACAGTAATGTCGAGTCTTTTGTTATTATTTTCCATTTTGCATTTGAAAATGTGTTGTAAATCAAAAATCCAAAAAAGAGATATTTTACGTTTTTTTATTTCTGTTAGAATTTTCTTTGGAAATACTGCTCCTAGAAAGAGGTTGACATAACAGAAGGTCTCCAGAAGCATGTTATAATATGTCATTCCCCTGAATGTGATAGCTATTTGCAGCCTCCGAGGACTTGGCTTAAAGCCCAATTAGAATCAAAGAAGCTACTGACATTCTGTGTGAAGAGGTTGAAGAATTTGAATAAAGTTCGCTTAGTACATGCAGAGTACATTTGGACTGAACCTCACTCCAAGAGAAACAAAGTCAAGCTGAAAGTTCAGAAAGAGGTTCTTCACGGAGCTATCCTTGAGCAGGCCTACACTGTTGAATATGTTATCCAAGACCAAATGTGTGAATCTTGTACTAGGGTTCAGGCTAATCCCGACCAGTGGGTGGCTGCAGTGCAATTGCGACAGCATGTTTCTCACAGGTGGACGTTATTCTATTTGGAACAACTTTTTCTTAAGCATGATGCCGCTGCTCGTGCTATAAGGATTAAGCAAAGGGATCAAGGAATTGATATTTTCTTCTCTAATCGTAGTCATGCTGTGATGTTTGTGGAGTTTATAGGGAAAGTAGTTCCAATACGGAGCCGTAATGACAAACAACTGGTGTCTCATGATACCAAGAGCAGCATTTACAACAAGTATACTTTTTCAGTTGAAATTTGCCCAGTTTGCCGTGAGGACTTGATTTGTCCTCCGCCAAAAGTTAAAGATGGTTTGGGGAATGTAGGGCCACTTGTGATCTGCACCAAGGTGAGTAATAACATTGGTTTACTTGACCCATTTACTCTCAGGAACTGTTTTCTGGACGCGGAACATTATTGGAGGGCATCTTTTAAGACCCTACTTTCGAGTAGGCAGCTTGTGGAATATATAGTTCTAGATGTTGAGAGTTGTTTCTTCTGAGGTCAATATTGGTGGATCTAAGTATGCTTTGGTAGGAGTGAAGCGACTGCTTCTCAATGGAAGGAATGCATTTTGAAAGATTCAGTTAGATTGGCAGACGAAAAACCATGTTGGAACAAACCATACTTGGAAATTTACGTTTCTTTTATGGTGTGGATCTATTTCATGTTTAATTATTTGTTCAATGTTTTATTTAAGTGTTTTTCTATCCAAAAAAAATGAATTTTTTTTAGGTTGTTTTTCCTTTAGGTAATTAATATCTAGGACTTAAAATAAATTGTTTTTATGTTCCCTTTAGTATATTAAGACCAAAATTCAAAAATAAAAGAGAATTTTTTTTTAGTACTTCTTTAAAAGCTTTCTTTAAGGTGTTAATTCCAAAATCCAAAAAGATTTTCTTTTGAGGTGTTTCTTCGGGAAATTAGTGAAAAAAGAAAAAAAAATTTATTTTCATTAGAACTTTAGGATATTGTACATAGAAGAAAAAATTAAAAAAATATTTTTTTTTATTCTAGGATTTTTCCTTAGTAGAGTATTTGTTTCAAAAGGGAAAAAAAAAGAAGAAAAAGAAAAACAATGCCCGTCAAGTTTGAGTTTAGAACAGGTCATA